AAAAATACCCCGATACATATCTTTTGACACTTTGTTAGCACTGCAGCGGTGACACAACCATCATAAATTAAGTTATACGACCGTAGCGCTGACCAAACACTCTAGCGATGCATGGAAATGTTTTTGAGAGAATGAGTCGCGGCTTGTTCATATGTAAATAGCGCCACCCATTAATATGTAAATGTCACAGTCGAGGCTATTTTCAGTGGGGGGCCAGTAGCCCCTATGTTCATTTTGGTTGCCCCTGTCTGTCTGACATCATGTGCCCGGGTTTCAGCTGCCATGAAACCCGGACACAGCATTCAAATCCCCGGACTGTCCGCGTGAGCTCTGCACAGGTGGCAACCTTATACCAAACCCAACACAAGTGGTATACAAATTTACCAATGGGCCCCTGTGCAAGAACAATTTTGGGCCCCTTGTTCAACTACTGGCCAAGCACAAGTGCTTATTCACTGTGTAACGATAGACATTACTAACCGAAAAGCATGGTTAGGGCAAGGCTGGACAAATCCCAGGAGCCCGGTTGCAAATGCTTTGTAAAAATGACATCTGGAGCCCAACTATTGAGATTTTCTTGTCAATGGAGCTGGCACCCAAAAAACATCCTGCTGGCTCCTGGATTGGACAGACTGGCTCCTGAATTCCGTATTGCTTTGTCCACCCCTGGGTTAGAGCATCATGAAGGATCCCTCCCGCTGCACATCCTCATGACAGTCCCATCACTTGCTTGACCCACGTCTAACATAAATGGGCCCCCCAGCTTCCAGAGGGCCCCTGTTCAGCTGCACAGCAAATGGTCTGCTCACCCCTGCCCAACACTTTAAAGCCACTCCAAGCAGGCGGCTACCACTCTCAACTAGCCAAGAAGTCGAAGTTCACATCCAACCATGAACTGCTACGCTCGACAGCAGCTGCCTCGGCCTAATTGATTGCATGATTAGCCGAGCACAGGAAAAACGGTGACACATCCAATTAAAGTCTAGATACAACAACACCCCCTCAAGTTGGCTTCACGACTGTATCAGTGGAAAGAGCCGATCGCACAAGCTGCAGTCTAGAGGCAGGAAAATAACAATATGCAATCAGTATGGACAAATGGGATTGGTCGGTGAATGAAAATACCCCCCCTGTGCAATTTTGGGGCGCTAGCAGCCTTTGTTCTCAGCAGACTAATAACGTGAAAATGGTCATCAATTAAAGACCAAAAACGATGAGGGGTTCAGAGAGCCGCGTCCCGATCCGGGAACCGGCAGGCTTTACCGAGGACGTATTAGGCTGCCATTGCTGATCTCGACTCGAAAATTCTACCTGCCTGGCTGTCGTCATGAATCAATATTCCCTTTCTGAGCCCCCCGATCCAAACAAATATCTGGATTTCTGACTTTATTGATCTGTTGGCTTGTACCGGGTCAGTACTGAAGCCACTGGATCAGCATGACGGCCAGGATTTAGCATCAGGAAAGAGCTCGTAGAAATGGGCCTGAACACTGGAACAGTATCAGAACATTGTGCTCAGCCACATCGAGAAACTGGCCCTTGGGTTTAAAAACATGGAGAAGGCTCACTTCACGCCCCCTCCTGCCCCACAAAAAAGTGAGCTGGCCGCAATGCGATGCAGTGCGTTCTGGCCAGAATCGGACCGGAACGCAATGCATCTGGTGTGAACGTACCCTCAAGCTGTCCATACACCTTATGAATATCGGCCGATTTTCATATACAATGGCGTTTTCGTCCGATATTCGTAAGGTTTATGGGCAGTGTACAACGGCAAATACTGTACAATCCATCGACTTTTGACTCTCCAGCAGGTTAGAAAGCTTCGGTCGATCGTACGATTTTCGCAAGGTTGGTGGTGTTTCCGTCAGTCAAAATTCATACGATTTACACTGCACATGCGCAGACGAAAATAAGTGCGGTCGATTACCGCAATTTGTCCAGGTGTTTTCTTCTAATTACCGCTGATCCAACCTTGCCAGAAGCGCATCCTGCCGGCTCCTGGTCATTTACAGTGACTCAATCAGTGTGTATGGAGCACGCGCTCAGCACGCAACAGCAGAGCCCCATGGACGCATGTACATAAGAGCCACGTGTTAAGGCCCATCCGCAAATATGCATTAGGCCAACGCAGAGAGGTTATTGTTCAATCTGCAGCTTTCAATAAACTAAGGCCTTGTGATCCTGCCACAAAGGTCCATGTCAAGGCATTCCCTCTATGGGAGCTAGCGCCTTGTGATCCTGCCATAAAGGTCCATGTCAAGGCATTTCCTCTATGGTAGCTAACGCCTTGTGACCCTGCCATAAAGGTCCATGTCAAGGCATTTCCTCTATGGTAGCTAACGCCTTGTGACCCTGCCATAAAGGTCCATGTCAAGGCATTTCCTCTATGGTAGCTAACGCCTTGTGACCCTGCCATAAAGGTCCATGTCAAGGCATTTCCTCTATGGTAGCTAACGCCTTGTGACCCTGCCATAAAGGTCCATGTCAAGGCATTTCCTCTATGGTAGCTAACGCCTTGTGACCCTGCCATAAAGGTCCATGTCAAGGCATTTCCTCTATGGTAGCTAACGCCTTGTGACCCTGCCATAAAGGTCCATGTCAAGGCATTTCCTCTATGGTAGCTAACGCCTTGTGACCCTGCCATAAAGGTCCATGTCAAGGCATTTCCTCTATGGTAGCTAACGCCTTGTGACCCTGCCATAAAGGTCCATGTCAAGGCATTTCCTCTATGGTAGCTAACGCCTTGTGACCCTGCCATAAAGGTCCATGTCAAGGCATTTCCTCTATGGTAGCTAACGCCTTGTGACCCTGCCATAAAGGTCCATGTCAAGGCATTTCCTCTATGGTAGCTAACGCCTTGTGACCCTGCCATAAAGGTCCATGTCAAGGCATTTCCTCTATGGTAGCTAACGCCTTGTGACCCTGCCATAAAGGTCCATGTCAAGGCATTTCCTCTATGGTAGCTAACGCCTTGTGACCCTGCCATAAAGGTCCATGTCAAGGCATTTCCTCTATGGTAGCTAACGCCTTGTGACCCTGCCATAAAGGTCCATGTCAAGGCATTTCCTCTATGGTAGCTAACGCCTTGTGACCCTGCCATAAAGGTCCATGTCAAGGCATTTCCTCTATGGTAGCTAACGCCTTGTGACCCTGCCATAAAGGTCCATGTCAAGGCATTTCCTCTATGGTAGCTAACGCCTTGTGACCCTGCCATAAAGGTCCATGTCAAGGCATTTCCTCTATGGTAGCTAACGCCTTGTGACCCTGCCATAAAGGTCCATGTCAAGGCATTTCCTCTATGGTAGCTAACGCCTTGTGACCCTGCCATAAAGGTCCATGTCAAGGCATTTCCTCTATGGTAGCTAACGCCTTGTGACCCTGCCATAAAGGTCCATGTCAAGGCATTTCCTCTATGGTAGCTAACGCCTTGTGACCCTGCCATAAAGGTCCATGTCAAGGCATTTCCTCTATGGTAGCTAACGCCTTGTGACCCTGCCATAAAGGTCCATGTCAAGGCATTTCCTCTATGGTAGCTAACGCCTTGTGACCCTGCCATAAAGGTCCATGTCAAGGCATTTCCTCTATGGTAGCTAACGCCTTGTGACCCTGCCATAAAGGTCCATGTCAAGGCATTTCCTCTATGGGAGCTAACGCCTTGTGATCCTGCCATAAAGGTCCATGTCAAGGCATTTCCAGTTTTCTGGTGACAACGCGATTCTGCCATCAGGGCCGGATTAAGAGCATCATGAGCCTGGTGCTTTTGGTCAGACAGGAAGCAGCAGAGGCAGCTCTCTAATTAGGTGCCCGCTCACTCCTTTCTGGGGCCCCGTGAGCGGCCACCTACTATGTCTGATTAGAGAGCCGCCGGTGCCTCTGCCTGATTGTGTTCAGCCCGGCCAGCCATACTGAGGCCTATTTTCAGTGGTGGTCCTGGAGCTGGTGCTCTAGAAGCCCCCATGTTAATCTGGCTATGCCTGCCATAAAGCTCCATGTCAAGGCATTTCCTCTGTTTGGGTGACAACGCTCTATCCTAGTTGCTCCCCTGCATTGTCACACAGGCTATTGTTGGAACACAAGCACACAGTCAGATATGCATGCTGCACATGGCTCCTCTAAAACAAGAAGGAAGCCACAGCTTTTATTTTCTACCTTTTTCAATACAACAGAGTATCTATTCTACACCATAGATATAACAGAACTTATAAACTCTGCCATCTAGTGACCGAAATTGTATACTGCAGGAGTTATTGCTATAAACATAGTAATGTGTATTCTAACAGCTATGAATGACCATCTCAACACACATTACACAGCCACCATCCACTGTTGTCACCCTCAAGAAACCAGCCCAATGTAATGTAAAGCAGCCCTCGCTGGAGTGCACATAGACAAAAAAGTGTCTGCAAAGCGGCTGCAGGAGATCAGCATCAACAAAGCATTAAAAAAAGGTAAAACAAGTATTTACCTGTCACCTGTGTATAGGACACACTCTGCTTCATCACACTGATATCATGAAGCGAGGGTCTGCATCTACTTCAATGAAATGTTATCCATATTTGTTCATATGCTGCATTTGGAATGCTTCTAAGGGTGATAATCTATGCAGAGGCAGCACAAGAACTGAGGACCACACATCAAAGGGGGAAAAAAGGTCTTTTGAAGTATGTTGAAAATCAAGAATGACCCCCCCACAACAAAAAGCCTGTCCCTAAAATCAGAGCCAGCTGGCATCTGTAACCCATCCAAGCAACAGCTCCATAGGAGCACACAGGAGGCAATTCAATTGCAGCACACGTACAGTAGGGATCGGGATGTACAGTATACTCTGCAGTGTGTAGTATACAGGGAGATAGATGGTGCTGAGCACAAATGTCAGTCTGATCCATATGTATGGAGTGGGGGCTGTGCAACACACCATTGCAATGCAGCACATCTGATTTTTCTCTTGCTGATGCCTGCCCAGCCTTCCCTATGACCTTGTACAGCGCAGGGCTACTTACCGGCCCCGGGAAGCAGCAAAAGCAGCAGAAGGAAGCGGATCATCCTGGGGCCATGGAGCTCAGATGCAGGCTGATGCCAAGCTTTGTAGGTGGTGGGGGGGTCGGTGCCAGGCGCAGGTAGAGGGCTGCTGGTGCTGGGCTTTCAGATCCCCCCTCTGCTGCCGGCTGTCAAAGCCCAGCACGCGTGTCGGGGAGTGGGGGGGCGCGCATGTTCAGGACACCCCCGATCCCCAGGTCTCCGCTCTGCCTGTGTCACATCCACACTACTGTCACTTGTAGCTCCGCTCTCTCTCTCTCTCCTCCCCCCAACCTGGAGGAGGAGGAGGATGGGGATGGGGGAAAAAGGGGGGGTTCCATCCATACACCACCCCCCAGTGCTGCATCTGGGGGCTACACAACCCCCAGCTGCTTCACACCATCTAATAGGAACCTTATGGATGCATGCTCCATAATAAATCCCATGCACTGTCTTCTTCCCCTTCCACTGTACTCCATGCAGCTGGAGTGAGGATGACAAAATGTGTCAGAAGATCGAAACTCAATCACGTGTTACCGACAATTCCAAAGTTACATCCTATCGTCTTTTTTAACATGAAACTTTCATATTAAATTATATCTGATCCGGCCATTGAGGTTATGGAGAGTGACAACGCTATGCCCATGGATCCCAAATGCATGGCTGGGTTGTCACTCCATCAATGGAGATATGTGAGCTGTGTAATAGTAATGGAGATATGACTGAGCTCTGTATTAGTAATGAAGATATGACTGAGCTCCGGGAATAGTAATGGAGATATGACTGAGCTCTGTATTAGTAATGAAGATATGACTGAGCTTCGGAATAGTAATGGAGATATGACTGAGCTCCGGGAATAGTAATGGAGATATGACTGAGCTCCGGGAATAGTAATGGAGATATGACTGAGCTCCGGGAATAGTAATGGAGATATGACTGAGCTCCGGGAATAGTAATGGCGATATGACTGAGCTCCGGAATAGTAATGAAGATATGACTGAGCTCCGGGAATAGTAATGAAGATATGACTGAGCTCCGGGATAGTAATGGAGATATGACTGAGCTCCATAATAGTAATGGAGATATGACTGAGCTCTGCATTAGTAATGGAGATATGCATGAGCTCCGGAATAGTAATGAAAATATGACTGAGCTCCCGGAATAGTAATGGAGATATGACTGAGCTCCGGAATAGTAATGGAGATATGACTGAGCTCCGGAATAGTAATGGAGATATGACTGAGCTCTGGGATAGTAATGGAGATATGACTGAGCTCTGCATTAGTAATGAAGATATGACTGAGCTCCGGAATAGTAATGAAAATATGACTGAGCTCCCGGAATAGTAATGGAGATATGACTGAGCTCTGTATTAGTAATGGAGCTATGTCTGAGCTCCGAAATAGTAATGAAAATATGACTGAGCTCCCGGAATAGTAATGGAGATATGTCTGAGCTCTGGAATAGTAATGGAGATATGACTGAGCTCTGGAATGGTAATGGAGATATGACTGAGCTCCGGAATAGTAATGGAGATATGTCTGAGCTCTGGAATAGTAATGGAGATATGACTGAGCTCTGGAATGGTAATGGAGATATGACTGAGCTCCGGAATAGTAATGGAGATATGTCTGAGCTCTGGAATAGTAATGGAGATATGACTGAGCTCTGGAATGGTAATGGAGATATGACTGAGCTCCGGAATAGTAATGGAGATATGTCTGAGCTCTGGAATAGTAATGGAGATATGACTGAGCTCTGGAATGGTAATGGAGATATGACTGAGCTCCGGAATAGTAATGGAGATATGTCTGAGCTCTGGAATAGTAATGGAGATATGACTGAGCTCTGGAATGGTAATGGAGATATGACTGAGCTCCGGAATAGTGATTGAGATATGACTGAGCTCTGGGATAGTAATGGAGATATGTCTGAGCTCCGAAATAGTAATGAAAATCTAGGGAATAAGCACAAAGAGGGGCGCCTTTCCTGCTGCAGATCACTTTTATTTCAATAAACATAAATAGAAAACCGAATCATACTCACAAACATGAGTGTCACAAAGTCATGAGGTGAGGACTGACAAGCAGTGTGATGTCCACTAGGTGATACCAGTGTAGTGGTGACGTTAACGCGTTTCCGGGGCACGCCCCCTTCATCAGAACATAGCGTCACCCTTCCTCTCTCCAACTTAAAAAGTATGAGTGGCCAATCCGAGGCGAGCGATAAGCGCTTGTCACAGTATAGATTGCAGCCGTGGCTTTGTCCGTCTCGGGCACCTTCCCAAGCACGGTGCCCGAGACGGACAAAGCGAGTACTCATTGGAAGCCTATGCAAGCACAGGGAGAACATGCAAACTCCATGCAGATAGTGTCCAGACCGGGATTCGAACAGGGGACCCCAGTGCTGTAAGGCAGAAGTGTAAACACATGTAATCCCCATTATATTCAATGGTGCCCGTTGGTCCTGAGCGTTGTGGTGCGACTTGCCACTTGAAGAAGTACCCGAGCTACTTCTCGGGCAGAATCACACATTTTTTACCACATTGACTTCAGTGAAAAAGTGCGACGCAAGTGTTTTAGAACGTTTTTCGTGCCTTTCTGCACCTAACTGGTTGTGATTTCGGCGGCACTGCCCAAAAAATGGTAATGACCTGGAAAGTTAGTGTGTTAAGTGCGGACAATGGGCGAGGGTGACAGTGTCACTGGGAATGAGATGAATATGTTAGGAAGTGTGACCACGGGTGATCAGAACAATCCTTATTTCCAGTCTTGATGAGGGCACACACAAGGTTAGGCTGAGTTCAGGTGTGTCAGGGGGCGGAGCTAAGACTCCCAAGATAGGTCATTGTAGCCTTAGTAAATAGGAGTTTCTGTCTCCAGGGTTAAGGAGGCAGGTAGCACGGTGGGGCATGTTAATGGCACTAAGAACTGTTTGCCCAGAGATGCTGAATGGCACCTCAATGCACTAAGCCAGGGATAGGCAACTTCTATCCTCCACCTGTGCTTTACCTACAAATCCCAACATGCCTCTGCCTCTGGGGGTCATGCCTGTAACTGGGAGTCTTGCAATGCATCATGGTACGTGTAATTCCACAAGAGCTGGAAGGCTGGAGTTGCCCATTACTGCCCAGGCAGGAAAAGTAGCTTTGATTTTGGTCCATCCAGCTGCACATGCTCACATTCCTTCTGCTCACCCATGACATAAATAAGTATTAAATGCTCAAACATTTTTTCAATAATGACTCCAGACGAAACAAACATACCCAGCAGAGTATTTCATTACATTTTTCCCCCAAAAACAGTCATCATGATTCCAAACAGCTCCAACTCTCCCAGCTCCACTTCCCTGAACGTCCTGTCCAGTACAAGATCACAAGGGACAGAGTAGTCTCCAGCAGCTGTCCATCTACTAACTTGAAGAAAGGAGGAGGAGGGAGAAAGGAGGAGGAGGGAGAAAGGAGGAGGAGGGGTCGGGGAGAGCCCTTGCCTTGCTGTGCCTGTGTTTGTGGAGATGCACACAGCTTACAAGCACACACAAAGGTGGCTCCATAGGACCCTGCAAGGGAAAGGAGCCCACCATGACAGGATATCAGGGCTAGTGCTCAGGAGAGCAGCTGCAGGAAACAAACTTTGAATCATCAAGAAGCAGCATCCACTGTAAGCGGATTTATAGTTCCACAACAGCCGGAGGGCTGATGTTTGGATACCCCTCGTATAGTGTATGGCCAGCTTAAGTCTTGGCCCTCCAGCTCTTATGGCACCGCAAGTCCCATGAGGCATTGTAAGACTCTGACAGTCACCGGCATGACTCCCAGAGGCAGAGAAATGATGGGATTCATAGTTTTACCACAGCTGGAGTGCCAATGATGCATACCCCTGACCTATACAATCTGATTGTACAATCTTCTTTATTTTACTGTGCAATAGAAGGACAAACCTAAGCAATCCATTCACTTCATATCACACCAGGCAGGCCCTTGCTTTACCTAGTTGGTGGCAGATTTATATGAGATTGTACAATCAGAGGAGTATCTACATCAAATTGCACAACTGGCGTCCTGCCAGGCTCCTGGCATCCAGTGACATTACTGGTTTCCAGGAGCTGGATGGGATGCCGACCAGACCAACCCAGATTGCTAAGAGCTGGGCAGAGAGATGCGCAAGGGGCCACCCAGCTCTCAGCAGCTAGAGCGGTGGGGAGGTGTGTATGCAGCCGGGACACCAGCCATCACTGGTTGCCAGGAGCTGGCCAGGACGCCGGTCAGAGCATCCCTGATTGCACAGAGCTGGGCAGAGATGTGAAAGGGGCCACCCAGCTCTCAGCAGCTAGAGTGGTGGGGAGGTGTGTATGCAGCCGGGACACCAGCCATCACTGGTTGCCAGGAGCTGGCTGGGACGCCGGTCAGAGCATCCCTGATTGGTAGGAGCCAGGCAGGGAAATGTGTATGGGAGAGGGGTGGGGAGAGAAAAAAAATCAGCCGTCTGTGTGGGTCAACAAACTTTCTTGACCCACAGAGCAGCGCCCCCTAGTGCCCAGGGCATGTGCCATACCCTGGATACCCCACTGTGTATAGTATATGGCCAGCCTAATACAGATTTTATAAAATCCTCATTGGACCTTCTGACAAATTGCATGGTGTGTGAAGGGTTAATTTATGGCAGGGCCCTTAGTCACTATATCTACGATGGAAGTAACCAGTTTGCAGTAATGAGTATTGTCCAGTGCCCACTCTGGCTAAATATAGCTCGGCCCGCTCGGAGGTAACCCACGTAGGTGCGTTCTTGGTAGGTGAACGCAGCAACACCCTTGACATTTCGCATTGAGACGGTAGAGGACCATCTGTCATCGTAAGCAGTGTGACCCATATTAAATTTGGGAGCCGCGGCGATGATATTTAATACAGAAAAATTGCACACCGGGAATATATAATGGCCGCTGTCACTCACATCCAGTGAGCAAGCCGGGGTTGCCATGGCAACAACTACTACTGGCGAACTAAGAAACTGATTAAAAAGGAGAGCAAGGAGCTTTTCTGGGAAGGAATACCTGGATAGCAGAACTGCCTTTTATTGCTGGATAAAGTATAACACGCTTTTCATAGGCGGGAAGAAAAGAGAAAAAAAAAGTCATAACCAGCTGAATTTTCCTTAAAATAGCTTCATAGTGGCGTAGAAGCCATGGCAATGGAGGAGAATTGTGGTTTAAAAATATGACACACATACCTGGAGCTACTGGGTGTAATAGCATGAAGCTGATTTGTGAAAAGATGGAACATTGGAGAGGGGAG